GTGTAGGTTTGTTTAAAATAAATAAATATACACACACACTCCTCTACCCCGATAGAACGCGACCCGATAGATCACAAATTCGGGTATAACGCAGTAAAGCAGCGGGGAGCCCCGGGCCCTTTAAAGCACTTCCCCAGCCCCGCTGCTTTACCGCATTGTATCCGAATTCATGTGAAGCCCTGGGCCCTTTAAATCACTGCCCGAGCCCGGCTGCCCCTGGGCTCTGGCAGCTGGGCTCTGGCGGTGATTTAAAGGGCCAGAGGCTCTGGCCGCTGCAGGGAGCCCCAGGCCCTTTAAATCCCCACCCGAGCCCACCGCCAGAGCTCCGGCGGTGATTTAAAGGGCCCGGGGCTCGCCACAGAAGCTGGAGCCCCAGGCCCTTTAAATCCCCACCGGAGCTCTGGCAGCCAGGCTCGGGTGGTGATTTAAAGGGCCAGAGGCTCCAGCCCCAAGCCCCGTTGCCGGAGCTCCGGTGGTGATTTAAAGGGCCCGGGGCCCCCCGCAGCAGCTGGAGCACGGGGCCCTTTAAATCACTGCCCAAGCCTGGCTGGGGAAGCCGGTCCAGTCCGGCATGGCGTACTGGGCCGAACCGGATATAACGCGGTCTCACCTATAAGGCAGTGAGATTTTTTTTTTTTGGCTCCCGAGGTCCGCGTTATATCTGGGTAGAGGTGTGTTACTGTAAATCCCCAGTTATTAGCAGACACTTGGGCAGGTGTACTACCGGAAACTACTCTTACCCAGTTTTTGCCTGGATTTTCAGTCGTTGCTGTTCCCATAAGTGCACTCTTTCATTCTCAATTGAAGCACTGGTGTCTTCAGATGAAATGATATGCACTATTCAGTAACCAGGACTTCAGTCCACCAATATATATTTCTGCTTAGTCTGAATTCCATATTTTTGTCAAATGCTTTAAAGAATACAGATAAATTCCAAAACTTAAGTGATAGTATTAGAAAACTGATTAACTACCAGGATTTTTTTTTTCTGTGCAGCTGTTCAGCAACATGACATTGCAAACTTTTAGATAAATGCTTTGTGGATGCTGTAAGCACCTGGAAAATAAATTGAATTAATAAGTTTCCTCCAAATTAGATACATTTGTAGTTATGAACTGGTTTGGAAGGCTTTGATGCACTTAATTTCAGGAAGTCAAAACTCTAATTTTTAAGTAGCAGCAAGAATTACTTTAAATAAATTATTATTTAAAGTCTTATTTATTTATCAAGTACTGTACTTGATTCCATTTAAAAAGAAAAAAGTGCTTTTGCCCACCAGAACAGCCTGCTACATTCATGCTGTTGGATGCCACAGTGACCTCTGGTGGGCGAAAGGCGGAACTGCATCACTTCTTGGGCAGAATATATTTTCGGGGAGGCGGGGGGGGACAAAATTCTGTGGGACATATGAATTCTGCACATGTGCAGTGGCTCAGAATTCCACCAGCAGTAAATGTTCACAGAAATATAGATAGAATTGGGCATTAGATTCCCTAACGATTTTGCTGTTTTGTTTTTTTTTCTCTGAAACTTTAATTTTCCTAATTTAACCAAAAACCCCAAACCCAGATCTCTTGCTGGTTTCCCTTTCCTCCCATGTACCTCCCCGCCCACCGCCCCCATACACATACACATTTAGAATGTACTGGTGGAAAGTCTGCAGAGGTTTCAGTTCGTGCCCAGTAGAGGAAGAAATATGGAGATTTAAAAATAAATCCATCTTAAATTATTTATTTTGATATTACTGTGAACTATCTGATAGTGAAATCTCATTGGCTGAATCCATTGTAGGTAACAGAATATATAGGGATAGAAAATGAACTTGTGATGGAGTTGTGTGCATCAATTGAGTTTGTATCTAAAAAGGCTAACAGTATTGCCACAGTTATGATCTTCCCCCATTTGTCTATAATGTGGTTATGATGAAGCTTAATTATTCAGGACAATGAACTTTTGTATTTATGGAAATACAGAAGGAATTAGATTAGCCAGACAGAATGGAATTGGCAAAAACTTAAAATGTGGGATTTGTTTACTTCTTGAAACAGCATCCCCCAGTTATCTGCTGCTGTTTGTCTGGGCCACCAGACCAGATCTGATTTCATTCTGTTCTCCTTGTTACATCTCCAGTTTTCTCCAGACCCAGGACAGTGGAACTATAAACAAGGTGATAATATATGTACAGAATTTCAGATCTAGAATCTGAACTTTTCCATTTCAGTCATCATACAGCAGTATCCCAGTCTCTGGTCTTTATAATGAAAATTCGGCTATCGTATCTTTTTGCCTTATGCTATTTGACATTTTTATCAATGATCTGGGATAAAACATAAAATCATCACTGATGAAGTTTTCAGATGACACAAAGATTGCGGGAGTGATAAATAATGGAAAGAAAAGGTTACTGATACAGAGTGATCTGGATCACTTGGTAAATTAGAATATGTGTTTCAATACGGCTAAATACCAAGTCATTCATAGAGAGAGAGAGAGTTACAGGATGGGGGTCTTCTGGGAAACAATAAATCTGAAAAGGGCTCGGGGATCATAGTGAATAATCAGCTGAACATGAGCTCTGGGTGCAATACTGTGGCCAAAAGGGCTAATTTAATCCTGGGAATATTGAGTAGAAGTAGGGAGACTATATTACCTCTATATTTGGGAATGGTGCGCTCACTGCTGGAATACTGTATCCAGTTCTGTTGTTAACAATTCGAGAATAGGGCTGTCGATTAATCACAGTTAACTCACATGATTAACTCAAAAAAATAATTGCAATTTAAAAGATTAATCACGATTAATTGCACTATTAAACAATAGAATACCAATTGAAAGTTATTAAATATTTTTGGATTTTTTCTGCATTTTCAAATATATCTAATTCAGTTACAACACAGAATACAAAGTGTACAGTGCTCACTTTATAATTTTTATTATAAATATTTGCACTGTAAAAATGATCAACAAAAGAAATAGTATTTTTCAATTCACCTCATGCAAGTACTGTAGTGCAACATCTTTATGTAACAAAAAAACTACATTTATAACTGCACTCAAAAGCAAAACAATGTAAAACTTTAGAGCCTAGAAGTCCAGTCAGTCCTACTTCTTTGTCAGCCAACCGCTAAGAGAAACAAGTTTGTTTACATTTACGGGAGATAACGCTGCCCACTCCTTAATTACATCAGCTGAAAGTGAGAACAGGCATTCGCATGGCACTGTTGCAGCTGGTGTCACAAGATATTTACGTGCCTGATGCACTAAAGATTCATACGCCTCCTCATGCTTCGGCCATCATTCCAGAGGACATGCTTCCATGCCGATGACGCTTGTTTTAAAAAAAGTGTTAATTAAATTTGTGAGTGAACTCCTTGGGGGAGAACTGTACATCTCCTGCTCTGTTTTACCCGCATTCTGCCATATAGTTCATGTTCTAGTAGTCTCTGATGATGAACCAACACAAGTTGTCCGTTTTAAGAATGCTTTCGCTGCAGATCTGACAAAATGTAAAGAAGATACCAATGTGAATTTTCTAAAGCTAGCTACAGGACTCGACACCAGGTTTAAGAATCTGAAGTGCCTTCCAAAATCTGAGAGAGGCGAGGTGTGGAGCATGCTTTCAGAAGTCTTAAAGGAGCAACATTCTGATGCAGAACCCAAACCATCAAAAAATAAAATCAACCTTCTGCTGGTGGCATCTGACTTAAATGATGAAAATGAACATGTGTTGGTCTGCACTGATTTGGATCGTTATCGAGCAGAACCTGTCATCAGCATGGACACATGTCCTCTGGAATGGTGGTTAAGCATAAAGGGACATATGAATTTTTAGTACATCTGGCATGTAAATAACTTGTGATGCAGCTACAACAGTGCCATGCAAGCAACTGTTCTCACTTTCAGGTGACACTGTAAACGGGAAGCAGGAGCATTATGTTCTGCAAATGTAAACAAACTTGTTTGTCTGAGCGATTGGCTGAACAAGAAGTAGGACTGATTGGACTTGTAGGCTCTAAAGTTGTACATTGTTTTATTTTTGAATGCAGGTTCTTTTGTACATAATTCTACATTGCAAGTTCAACTTTCATGATGAAAAGATTGCACTACAGTACTTGTATTAGGTGAATTGAAAAATACTATTTCTTTTTTACAGTGCAAATATGTTATTCAAAATAAATATAAAGTGTGCACTGTCCACTTTGTATTCTGTATTGTAATTGCAACCAGTATAGTTGAAAATGTATTTAAAACATTTAAATAAATAGTATTCTATTCAAGAAAAATGTTGAGTAATTGGAGGAGGGTTCAGAGAACAGCCATAAGAACAATTAAAGGATTGGAAAGTATATCTTATAGTGATAAGCTAAATATATTGAGCTCTTTGAGTCTAACAAAGAGACGGTTAAGGGGTGACTTGATTAGTCTATTAGTATCTAGATAGGGAACAAATATTTGTTTGTGGGGTCTGCAGTCTAGCAGAGAAAGGTACAACATGATCCAATGGCTGGAATTAATGCACAAATTCAGACTGGAAATAATGCACAAATTTTTAATGATGAGAATAATTATCCATTGCAATAATTCACCAAGGGTTTTGGTGGATTCTCCCTCACTGGAAATTTTAAAATCAAGTATGTATGTTTTCAGAAAGAGATGCCCTAGTTCAAACAGGAATTAATTCATGGAAGTCCTATAGCCTGTGTTTATACAGGTGGTCAAACTAGATGATTACAATGGTCCCTTGTGGCCTTATGATCTATAATTCTTTTTACTCAATTACTTGATATGTCAAAATATTTGTCTAGTTTATGGGACACATTAATCTTTTTGTTATAAGTTGTATTGTGGTGCTGCCCAAAATGTGCTAGGTGCTGTACATCAATAGGAATACATATGCTCTGCCACTAAGAGTTTACAATTTAATAATATATACCATTTAATAATATATGAGAACTTGGTATCCAGTAGCACTAACCTTCCAACACATTGTCTCTTTCCAGGCTTTGCATGATCGAAAATTTCCTGTTCCAAAACCATTTGACTACAATAGACATGCAGTAGTTATGGAACTTATTAGTGGTTACCCTCTGTAAGTATTAATTGAAACACGAACTCCCATTTAAGACTAAATTGAATACAGTAACTATGATTTTGGAAATCTTAATTGAGGTACTTGCTCAGAGGCACTCTGATTCAGTAGTGTAGGTAAAAAGCTGAATATTTATGCATAAGACAATGACTGTGCTTTTTTTAGTCAGATAGGAGCTAGCAGTGGCCCACCATTCTCCATGGAGTCAATTGATACTCTGTAGCCCAGCCTGACCATAGTAACAGAGCACCCTTTGAATCCAAGTTAGTTGGGAGGGGAATTCCAGTTATGCTCCCCTCCTTTCTTCCTTCCCAATACAAAGAAATGTACTGTTCCTTTATCCAGTAAAAAGGAATTAAAGCAGATTGGTAACATGTTTTAAAACCTCAAACAGTGGTCGAACAGTGTTGGCAAGTATCACAAGTAATGCCACTACCCATATGAAGAGATTCAGAAGTGCAAAATTTTATACAAAGCAAGAAGTATTTCTCATCATCCAGCTTTTTTAATGATTGCAGCTTTTAAGTATTTTAGTAAGTCCCACTGAAACTGCGTGTCAATTTGATATTGGACACTATAGAATGGCTAACAACCATGAAGTCGCTTTAGGGTCATTTCTTCTTGTTTTGGCAGTTACACCTGATGAGATTTTTATGCAGTTCACCAAAGACTGCAATAGGGCAGCTTACTCTCTGTGACAACTGCACTCTCTGAAAAGTGTCGTTCATGTTACTGTATGGTCTTTCCTTGGCTTCAGTTCATGCTCCCTTGTTCTTGTAATTGACTCTTAAGTTACTACTCACCACTTTCAAATTCAGAAAGAAATCTTTGCTTTTTTACATGCATATTTTTGTGTTACAGCAATAGTGCTGGGAGGTAAGTAATCTTCAGTCAGGAGAGGTCATGCTGCGTTTAATTGTTAAGTCATTTTGCATTATCTGACCAAATGATTTTTAAAACATTAAAATATTTTTAAAGTTTACATTTGAAAAGCTGATTTGATTCGTTTGCATGACCTTTATACGTATCCTAGTATCTAAAATAAATCAACTGCAGTTTTAGAAGAAACCAGGTCACATTCTAACACAGGGGTAGGCAACCTATGGCACGGATGCCGAAGGCAGCATGCGAGCTGATTTTCAGTGACACTCACACTGACCGGGTCCTGTCCACCAGTCTGGGGGGGCTCTGCATTTTAATTTAATTTTAAATGAAGCTTCTTAAACATTTTAAAAACCTTATTTACTTTACATACAACAATAGTTTAGTTATATATTATAGACTTATAGAAAGCGACCTTCTAAAAACATTAAAATGTATTATTGGCATGCGAAACCTTAAATTAGAGTGAATAAATGAAGACTTGGCACACCACTTCTGAAAGGTTGCCAACCCCTATTCTAACATAAGGTAGGCATCTGAAGTGAGCTGTTTAATCAAAAAGGAATCAAAATTTAAATTAATTGAACACTAATGAAAAGAAAATTCCTCCCCTCTCTCCCCATTTATGAAGTGAATTTAGTGCAGTGAAAGGTGCTACAAGATGGAAGTTTTATCTTTAATTCCATAACAGGTAATGCATGATGTCAACACTACAAGCTTCACAACTCTTCTCCATCGTTATTTTGCAGTTCTGCTATGGAGAAAATACTATAAGGGATGGGAAAAAGAGTTTATTTTCCATACTCAGTTATTCTTAGATCTCATAAGAAGTCAGCCAAACAAGAGTGCCAAAGGTGAAGACGGGTGGGGTTTATTTTGCAATGGAGTTCTGGTTTTTGCTTTAACTTTTCATTTTCTTATACCCTTAATAGTTGAGAATTTTTTTTAATGTTTTTAGGTGCCAAGTGCATCAAATAGAAGATCCTGCATCTGTGTATAGTGAGTTAATGGAACTGATTGTAAAACTTGCCAACCATGGTTTGATTCATGGAGATTTCAATGAATTCAATCTCTTATTGGACAGCGAGGACCAGGTTACCATGATTGATTTCCCACAGATGGTGTCAACATCTCATCCAAATGCTGAATGGTATATATTCAGTCTTACAGCATTTTCAAAATCAGTTTGGCCATTTGAGATTATTGTAATTTATTAGCACTGATTATTCATTCTTCTGTATCCACTCTTAACTGTCTTCTAGCAATGTCATCTTGCACAACTAATAGTGCCACAAAAATATACTCAGTTTTATTTATCCACAGACATAAATGTCAAAATTTAGAGTGGACACATGATTGGTTCTTGCAGGCGTTCTCAGGAAGTCAGGTCAAACTTCAATTGATACTGTGTGGTTCATTTTTGTGTCTTTGAGTTTTCTGTTTTCAGCTATGTGGTAGCTTAATCACTGTTTAGTAAAGTGGAAAAAAAGACAACAGGGATTTCCTTTCCAGAACAAATCTGGCTAATAGAAAATGAAGTTTGACAAAGCTGGAAGAATACCTCATTTTCTAAAATTCAGAAAAAATATAAGATGTGCTAATGTGGAAGAATTAATACACTGAAGCTATGGTGTGACAGATATGAAGTAGAACTTGAGATGTTTAGAAGCGTACCAAAATGCTTGTAGCTCTCTTAACTTTAATTATGTGCAAAACAATTCTTTATTTTTCCAGGTATTTTGACAGAGATGTTAAATGCATTAGAGACTTTTTTAAGAAGCGTTTCAGCTATGAAAGTGAACTTTTCCCAACCTTCCAGGATATCAGGTGAGAAATGTAACTTGATTAGGGGTCTTATATTGATCAATAAAGATGACAGAGTGCTCTCTGTACAAGTTTTATATTATGAGAACACTGGCCAAAATGTTCACAGCTGGTTTTCAGTTGTATGCTGTTTAATTAATGACCTTCATGAAGTCTTTTGCTGGAGAACTGAGGGGACAGCCTTGCATCTCTTTTTTTCTTTTTCCTTTTCATTTTAATATAGGATTTTCTTTATTCTTAATATTAGAAATGTCGGTGCTCAGTCTAACCAAAATCATTGTAGGTGACATCCTGAAACTTCACCCCCATTTTACATTTTACTACTATCAGGAAACCGTAATGCCTGTGTTCTTGTAGTTGGAAGAGGGCTCTTCCAAGACCTGATCCAAATGGTGCTCCAGGACACATCACTAAGAGATGCCACAATAATACAGAACAGTATTTTTCTCACCCCTCAACCCAATTATTGCACTTGTGGGGCATTCCTTTATTTGAATTCATTTGGAGTGGAGGCTTTTCAAGAAAGTTAGTAAATCATGGTCACTGCTTTGCTAAAGAACACATTTTTCAGGCCTCAGATGATGAAAATCACTGAAATATAGTTATATTTTGAAAAACAACTGTATAAAAATGACACCTGTTATTCAACAGATCAGCTCATTGCCTATACTCTGTCATATCTGTTTACTTCAAAATACATTTTTATTCCAGTTAGAACAACACTGCTATGAGAGAGTGAGCTGTTGGTCTCTGTACTGCTGATGATGGGCAAGGCAGAGTTGTTTTCTAAGTTCCAAAGTTTTCAGATGGCAATTTGCTTTTTCAAATTTCATGTCCAAGACAAAACAAAACCCTTGTGAGTACATTTGAGCTAGGCAATATTGAAATAATAAACCCGACCAGGTTCTTTTCAGTCCTTTTTCAGAAGGGAACCACATTTTAACCAGAACATGCAAAATATATAACTTTTGATAAGTGCAGAATTAGTGCTTCTAGATTATGTAATATAGTGTAATACACTTAAGACAACGTTAAATTATAATTACACTTCAGCAGAAGTGTACGGACATTGTTCAGTCATATAGCTGTAAATGATGAAATCGTCATCTGAGCATGAGGTAACTTCTTATACAAATGACATTGTACTTTTATCGGCCATATTCTGTCCCTTGTTATTATATGACGTTCAATGAGTCTGTCTTATGTAAGGTTCTACTCAGCATGTGTAAGGGTAGCAGAATTATATACCTTTGATATTCCTTTAACACTGGCAGTTTAATGATAGTGCACTTTGGTAGTCATTTCTTTTTTTTTAAAAAAAAAATTACTAAATTGATTTAATATGTTGAGGGGAAACTATTTATGCTTTAATCTTCTTATCTTCTCCAGGAGAGAGTGCTCTCTTGACGTAGAGATTGCAGCCAGTGGCTACACAAAAGAAATGCAGGAGGATGATGAACTGCTTTACCCAGCTGGTCCTGATGAGGAGGATTATAAAACAGTTTTTACACCACTTGTAGACGATGTTGATGGGAAAGTAAATTTGTATACCACCGAAGAAAACAAAATAAATTTCACAGATGAATTGGAAGATGACACTGAAAGCAAATCCTCTAAAGTTTTGGTGAATAGCAGTAAAGAAGTTGATATAGCTGACAGTAGTAAAAAGGCAGAAAGTTTAGATATGACTGAGTTCAGCCATGCTCTAGAAAAAGTTGAAGGGCAAATTATTGCAGGGAAAGCCAGTAATAATGCAGAGAGTTCTGCAATTGATTTTTCTGAGGATGAAAGGAGAACTGAAAATACCACCAAAATTGAAGATCATATAGGTCAAGGAGAAGACCCTGCTGACAAAGAGTATGAAGATGAATGCCCTGATCTGGTTGACTTGTCAACATTAAACAGAGAATTCAGGCCTTTCAGGTATAGATTCATATTGACTGTTTTGGAAGGCTTCCATTTATTTTTTTTCTTCTTTTCAATAGATGAACCTCTTTCAAGTAGTTCAGCATGCACTGCTGTTCAGCCACCCCTGCTTAAATTGAAAATATATTTCTAATCTTAGGGTGAACATATGCTACTTTCCTTATGACCAGATGCTAGGTAACCTATTGATTAGTATTACGTTTATATGTTTTCTAGTGTGACAGATCAGTCGTCTTGCTCCAGAGTACAAAATGTAATAACTAGACTTGGGTGTCTGAGTTTAGTTCCACTTACCTTCTATAGCTAGTGTACACTTTTCTATTGAATAAATATTTAAACTGTTTATACCAATGAAAAAGGGTTTCGTGTTAAAATACTACTCCACAATTATTTTTATGGTGCAATTTGTAATTTAAACACTGTTTCTTGAAGTGAAATTATTCTTGTTAGCTGAGGAGCACAAACCCTCTGAGATCCAATCATAATAACTTAGCTATTTGTTATTCTGGCTATCAGTTCCTTGCCTGTCCTGTTTAGAGATCATAATTACCTCTATCCTAGACCCTTGATGCATGAGCTCTGTACCACCAAAAAGAGATGGGCGGACAGGTGCATGTAATAGAATGAGTACACCAAGCAGTTGCCCCATTTCCTCTCCCCATCCACAGCCCACCCACTCAGTTTTGTATTAAATGATTTGTTGTCTGGACACCATGGCATAGGCATCAGGAAAACTTAATATTTAACTTAGTAATGTGCATTACTAGCGGGGAATTAGAAACATAGATATTGCATATGTCACTTTTTAAGTTAGGAAATGTTGCCATCATGGTTTGTTAGGGTTTTTTCTTTGGCATGTAGGGAATGAAAGTAGTGTTGTGGTGAAAACATCATTCTGCTACATGTCATATTGGTTTACTTTGCTGACAGACAAGTTTTTAGTACTGTTGGCATTGCTAAGCAATACAGTGATACAAGAAGCAAGCCTGCTTGGTTTTGGTGTTTATTTTTTACATGTAAACTAAGCAAATTTGAAATGGAGATCATTGACTGAGCATAAATATAAAATATCACTGTCACTTTTAGTTTTTTAGAACAACATTTTTGTTATTTAATATGTTCTTGGTCATTGTATCATGTTACAAATCAGATCTGAAAATCTTTAGCGGTTATAAAAGACCCGTCACATTGAAGTCAAGTTAATATTGCAAAATGTAAATTTTCCTTGTTATGCAAATATTAAATTGTGTTGGAAATTTTTAGACTGTATCAGTAAAACTTACTATTAGAATATGATGGATTGTAGCCAAAGGATATTTATCTTGTCTTTTTGCTAGATGAAATAAAAATCCATTTTATATATTGTAGAGACGAAGAAAGTATGATACACATCAATGAACACAGAATGAGAACCTTAAGTACCACCTCCGCTGGCAGTTTTGGGAGCTGTTCAACAATTCCTCAGGTAACTAATGTAAACATGCTTTCTAGTTTCCCTCTGTAGATTTTTAAAATTGTAAGATGTCAATGTTTTGTTATTAAAACTGTCTTCCAACTGTAACTTGTGGGTCAGTCCAAATTAGTGTTATCGGATTCTGGTGTCTTCTGTGATTCCATGATCATGGAATTGTGTTCCAGAATCTAAGTTTTTTATGGGTTTTTTTGTTTGGTTTGTTTGTTTGTTTGTTTGTTTGTTTGTTGTGGTTCTTTTTTTTTTTAAACAAACCAAATCTGGACATATTGGTGAAGATAATCCTAAAAATTTAAAATAAAGGTAAACGAAAGCAATTGTCTTCAGAAACTTCAGAAAGCCTGAAACCTTAGCTCCAAGGTGTGTGAACTGTTTCATATTTCCTTGAGTGGTGTTAACTCTGAAATTGAAAGACAATGATATAAATGTTAACACTGTTATGTATTTCACTGTTCATCACTTTAGCAGAAGCATCCAGTTAAAGGTTTATCCTATAATCCCAAATTTTCTTTGATGCTTTGCAAGATACCAAGAGCTACAGCTGTATCCTATCCCACTGCTCAAACCTCTAGCTCCCCTGACAACTTCTGCATTATGTATTGTCAGTACAAAAATCTGCAGTATGTTGAAAGCCAATAATGTGGCACAGCCTTAAATATATTAAATTTTGTGTGTGGAAAAATATAGGGGATACTAGAATGGTTGCATTATTCATTTTCCTTTTTAATTCAGTAAAACGTTCAGTTTTTACAATTTAAATAAAATTGTCCGGACTTTCCTTCTGCTGCACCTTAATACTGCATAGTTTAGAGTCTTTGCCACAGAATAGAAGTCCAATTTGCGGTGGAGTACACAGGGCCCTGAGTATTTTACCCTCCTGATTGTAGAGGGAAGCAGAAAATCCAGAACAATTGTGAGACGCTGCAAAACATGGTTGATGTAATTTTAACCATATCTGCTATTTAAAGAGGAATTGTGCTCTTCAGAGGCTTTTTTTTTTTGGTGCCTCTAGCAACCTTGTGATCTAAGGAGAAAGCATGATGTTCTTGTAGGCTTGTTTCTTCTATCATCATACATTTTTCAGCAGAGAGAAATTTTAGGTTGTGTACGTTCACTTGTGCCAGACAACAAACTTACAGGCCTCCTTATTTGTATATGATTTCTTTTATGTTGTCTTGGCAGCATACTCCTAAATTTGCAGTCTCAGTCAGTGGAGATCAAGAGCATCAAAGATGGTGTGTTCACTCTCTGGGATGAAGGTTGCCACTCGTTCCCAGTCCCAGCAGGCTTTTTTACAGTTTATGTATGAAATGGCATTGCCTGCACCCTGTGTACTTTCTAATCCCCCTTTTAAACTTTTGAATTTGAAGTGTGACATGTACCTGGAATGAACAATGGCTCTTTCCTGGGATGTCCAGGGGAAGAAGGAGAAAACAGGGCTGGTAATACCATTTTAAATAATCATGCCAATGATTAGATCTCCAACACTTCCCAAAGATTTCTTTGCCACCAGGCTGTGCTCATCTTTGGTTGCAGCTGCCAGTTAGATGTCCAACAACTTAAGTTCAACTCCAGCATATGATACTCCTGGGGGAATTCTGCGCCAAAAATTAAAAATTCTGCACACAATATTTGAAAATTCTGCACAAGTCTGCTTATTTGATTTGTCAAAATAACACAATATAATCATGCCAGTTTCAATTATTTTGGTACTTTATTGCAAAATATTTGTCAGTGAGTATGTCTGTAACAATACAGACCAAAAAAAAAGATTGTGGGTGTGGTTTTTTTGTTTTTGTTTTTTGACTAATAGATTCCTTACTAGGCATAATTAATGTAGAACTTTGAGTAATTCATTTAAATTACAATACAGAACTGGATTTCCTGCCCCTGTCAGAAGTAGTGCAAAGGCTTGGGGGAGTCGGAGTAACGAAGGAGCTAAGAGGGGAGGGAAGGAGTGAACCTGGAGGTGGGTGGGAAAGGTTTTTTTTGGGGGGAAGGGTGGGGGGTTGTTGGAGAGTGGGGTCAGCCACGATCTGCATGGGAGAGGCTTCCCAAAGTCTCTCCCATTCAGTCAAGCACATCTGCCCCGTCTCCACACTCCCCATCCCCATGGGTCTCTGCAGCCCCCATCCCCAGGCTCAACGTTGTCACCCCACTAGCTCCTGAGTCCATGCCTCAGTCTGTCCCCGCCACTGGCCATTATGAACCCCAGTCTGTGGGGCCCCCCTCCCCCCCCCCGCAACAGCCCTGTGTGCTCCACTCTGTCCAAACCTGGCTCTGCGGGCAGGGTGCTGTGATGAACTTCTACTCCTTGGGTCAATTCTGCAGCACTGGGTATAGAATTTTTTCCCCCACAGAAAATACATTCTGCCCCAGAAGTGCTGCAGTTCTGCCTTTTGCCCCCCAGAGGCCATTGTGGCACCAGAACGGCCATCTGCATTCATGCAGCTGGTGTTCTGGTGCCACAGCGGCCCCTGGCAGGCAAAAGGCAGAACTGCAGCACTTCTTGAGTAAAATGCATTTTATGCAGGAAAATACAAAATTATATGGCACAGAAGAATCCTGCATGTCTGCAGATGCACAGAATTCCCCCAGGAATAATATGAACTCTTTTACATGTAAGCAACCACAAATGTCTATGTTGGTAGGCCACTATCTAACATACAATCAGTTTGTTCCCTTCTATTGCTTGCCAAACTTAAAAAACAAAAAATGGTTTGGAAAGTAAAGTGAGAAGTACATTTAAAATAAGTCAAGGCAATTTGACCTACCCACCTCCTCTCTTCCTAGACGTTTCTTTAGCATCTTTCCCTAAAACTTTGCCATTAAACCACTTCAGTAGTGTAAATTTGACTCTCTTTGAAGAATGAGAGAATTTTTATAGCTGTATTTAATACCTCAACCCCCGCACTCAACTAAAAATAGCTATGCTGGCTCCTTCTGTCATACTTTAAATAAATGCAAGCTCATTTTAGAAAGCTCCCTGAAGAAAAGGATGGCTAATACTCTGTACAAGTTAACATACCTTCAGCTGAAATAATTTGGTAATTTCTGCTGAACACCTCACTAGTACGATAACCTTTCTGTGGATTAAAATCTGTTATAGCTGTAGATGCTTTCATTTGTAAACCAGGTGAGATGGTTTCATTTGCAAATAGGAATAGGAAACAAACTCTGCAGATTATCTCTGCACACTTTTAGTAATGTACCCTTATCCAAACATAGCATATTTCATGAATCCTGTCCAGATGATTGTTGCAAAGTATTTTAACAACCAGTATATGACTATCATAATTATTTTGGTTGGCTTTTTCATTCTTTATAGATTGTAGTTTGTGTATGAAGTAATAGTGATTTTTTTTTTTTTTGGGTCCTATTAACTGATGCTTTTATTGCTATGGAATAGCCTTGCTTTATACAAGAGTGCCTTCAAGTAGTTGTATTATTTCCAGAGCATTTGCCTGTTTATTTTTTAGTATATTTTATCTATGTATATGAATGATTAATTTTGTATGTTGGCTGTATTTATTGAAATAATTCTAGCCAAAAAGTATTTTCCAGAACTTAAATGAAAATGCATTCTTAATCCTTTTATATGCATAATAGTTGCCTGGAGTAAGAATTGTCACCTGAAATCCTATTGTCAGTGCTAGAAGGAACTTCAGGATTAGAACCATGTGCTAACAGGCAGCTATGACTCCTGTGATAGTCCAGGAATCCCCTGTCAGAAGGGATGGACTGACAACACTACAGGCACAGTCTTTAAATTCTTAGAACTGAATCCAATCTTGCAGGTAGGATTCCAAAAAGAGGGAGGCACTATTGAATTCAGACAGAAGAAATGATTACAGACTTGAGATTGAAAAACCACTTGGTGGCAGCAGCGACCTTAATATGGTTGTGGCTTTCCAAATAAGCTACATGTCTTCATGGAAGCACATTAGCATTGTGCTTGCAAAAGCAGGAACTCTAATAAATCAAGAGGCCCAGATGCGTTGTATCCATGGAATAATAAGTGCTCTGTGCGGGTTTTGTAGCTATGTTAAAATAGGCTATATTTATTTATATGTAATTTGTATATCGCATCAGGAATTTATATATAAACAATACAGCATATAGTATGTACACATTTTGAAGAATGTCCAGAAAAGAGATACTAAATTGATCAGCTATAGAAAATCCCAGCTATTTTAGGCTAAAACATTTAATTACTTTGACATGGAGACTGTGGGCATCTTACTGCCCTCTCACAAACTTGACTAAGGATTTATTCAAAATGAGCCACCAGAGGAAAACTGGATTTTGCAAAATTTTAAAATAATAAAGCTTTGATCTATTCAGTCCAATGCACTCAACCTAGTCATCCACCCTTAGCATGATTATGATGAAAAGACTGAGATTTACTTGCTCAGGGCAAGTAGGCCAGTATATGCACTTCAGTCTGAGAAGAATTTTTCCCTGGTGGTAGGGTCTGTGAGGGTGGTAGGGTCCCCCATTTCCTATCTGCCTGGATCACTTAAGCATGAATTGTTAGGATCAGGTTTGCATATCCCACGTTACTAACTTCTTGCAATTGCTGCATAATAGGAATTGGTGGACCTTTTGTCATCTTTTCTGGTTTTTGTCAGAGGAGGCTGTGGAAGATTAATATTCAAAAAAGTAGCATCTCAGTAGTATTGGATATGGTAGCAGAAATATATCTGACCAGGTATTTCCATTTACAAACTGCAGCTTTAGTTCTGTTTCATTATGCTTAGTTCAAGAACCAATTCTATAAGAAGCTGGTATTGAGAAGAGGCAGGAGAAGTAGATGTGATGTTACAATTCACTTGTTGGATGTTGGTACTTATAAACCAACAGGAAAAAAAGTTTCCATGGACCTGGGTAGCTCACATCAGTCGTAATTACTCATTTCAACATTGACCTGCAAGAGGAGACTCTATATTAGGGTTACCATACGTCCGGATTTTCCCGGACATGTCTGGCTTTGGGGGCTCAAATCCCCGTCCGGGGAGAAATCCCCAAAAGCCGGGCATGTCCGGGAAAATCGGGAGGGAGGGCTCGGCCGGGGCCGGGCCGGGGTCGCGGGGCTAGGGGCATGGTGCCGGGCCGGGAGCCGGGCCGG